AGAATTGCAGGGTCATGTTTAATTCTCCTGTTTCTTCTCAGATAATGGAAACAAAATCAAAAGCATTATCAACACCAGAAATCAGAAAAAGGAATTCCATTACAGAGGAAAATGAGACAAAATCATTTGGATCATCAGATGTGCTTTTGGAAAAAATAGATGAAATACCAGAAAAAAAGGAAAAGGCTACAGAGCTACAGGTTTCTGCAGAATGTAGTCCAGATATACTACTGAGTGAACAGAATGTGAATTTACCTTCCATGTCAGCTATAGCTGATAAATTTCAAAAGCAACTGGAAAACAAAGAATCTGAAGACCCCATTATACCAGTTGTGCTTTCTGCAGATCCAGGTACATGGCCCCGAGTTTTGGACATTAAACAGCGAGATGCTCTTATTGAAAATGAGCCACCTCAAGTAAGAAATTTTAACTTTCCAAAAGACAATACAGGGAGGAAATTTTCAGAAACTTATTATACAAGAATCCTTCCAAGTGGTGAGAAAACTACTAGATCCTGGTTACTTTATTCTGCCTCCAAAGATTCTGTATTTTGTCTGTATTGCAAACTCTTTGGGGAAGGAAAAAACCAACTGAAAAATGAGAATGGGTGCAAAGATTGGCAGCATTTATCACATATCCTTAGTAAACATGAAGAAAGCGAAATGCACATAATCAATAGTGTTAAATATTCAAAACTAAAATCTGAATTGGAAAATAATAAAAGCAGTGAAAGTGCAGAACACAGATTATATGAAAATGAGAAAAGTGATGGTGTGGTACTTTTGTACACATAATATCCTGATGTGTTTTTGAGATGACATTGACTTACATTACTCAGAAAGAATCTGCAATGTAAGTCAGAACCTTTATGTTGTGAGACTCCTACAAAGAGTAACTTACAACAGCTATGAGCAATAAGTCTAGTAGCAAATAAATACCGTTTCTGTTCCAAATGCAAAATAATTCAATAGTTATTATTACAGGTTTTAGTAAAGCTAATTTTTTATTTTCTGAACCTTAAAAAAAAAACTCAATTGGAAATTTCTAAATATTGTTTTGGAGGAGTTAGAGATATAATTCATTTAATAAAGTTAGCACTCTACCCGTGAGCAAAAGTAGCAGACACCAAGTTCAAATCCTGGTCTTGACCCTTAAGAAAAAAAAATATGATGTTTGAGATTTGCCATTTTAATAGAATTAGTTAATACTCTGTTCGTGAACAGAATGGGGTCTGAACTACAACTTTTTGCTATTAAACCAAATACTTATTTCTTTTGAGCAAAACATTTTTCTATTTGAGCAAAACAACTTCATTTGTTATATAAAATGATTAAAATGGTTAATTTGCATTTTATTGGTTTATATTTTTGTTTTTAATTTAATTTGTAAATGTTTTTGCCTTTATTATTGTATGAGAACTTTAAGCATAAAGAATATATGCCTATTTTTATGTTGTTACAAATATAAGAAATATTAAAAATATATTGTTAACCTTTCAACTGTTGTAGATTTTTTTTCTTACATGTGAAATTTGAGAAATAATGTATCTAAATATTTAAATGACCAACCAGTTTCATTATTACTATAAATTTAGTAATTCTCCCTTTGTCTCCAATTTCTGACTCAATTTCATCATGTATTGAATTCTTACATATACTTGGGCTTAATTCCTTTCAGGGCTTTTTGTATGAAACAAAGTAGTATATGACAATAGCTAAGTAGATGCGGTCTTCCAGGTGGGCTGAAATAGTAATACTTACAAATTCAGTGTTATACCAGGGCAAAAAGCTATTTCTTGGAATAAACCTAAAACCATTCTCACTAAATTAATCATTCTCATTAAACTATCATGAGGATTTTGTTGCTTTTTTTTGTATGTGTGTGACAACTGGATCATTTAATCTTTCAGACTTGAATTTAAATATGGCTCTGAGATGTCTTTTGAAAATCTAAAGTGGCTGGGTGCTGGTGGCTAATGCTTGTAATCGTAGCTACTCAGGAGGCTGAGATCTGAGGATCATGGTTCAAAGCCAGCCCAGGCAGGAACATTGTGAGACTCTAATCTTCAATTAACCACCAGAAAACCAGAAGTGGCACTGTGGTGCAAATGGTTGAGCACTTGCCTGGAGCTCAGGAACAGCACAAGGGCCCAGAGTTCAAGCCCCACGACCAACAAAAAAAAAAGAGAGAAAAAAAAATCTAAAGGGTTTAATAAAAATGTCAAATTGATTCATTAAGAAAATATAGTTAGATCTTCACCTTAATTCTTTATCATACTACATACATACAAGATCTC